CTACTAGAATTTAGCATTTCGGTAATGAATGTAGAATTAACAGTACCTGTGACTTTGTCATTAGTAGGTATTTTCATGTCATAGTGCATGTGCTACAGATATCTCAAAATATCATTTATATTTACCCCTATTTGAAATTAGGAAAGTTATTACACCTACTGCTAGATTTTATTATTTAATGCATTCATGAAGATATAGGTGGGTTCTCTGAGAAGCAGATTCTGAGGCAGAGTTTGGCATGGGAGATATTTAGGTAGTGTCCTTGGGATGGATAGCTGTGCAAGGGAGAGAAAGAAAGCAGGACTGAGCAAAAGGAGAAGTCAAACTGTGATGCAGGCCAACAACAGCCTCCACTGACCACATGGGGGTCTCTGGAGCCAAAATGGACCATCAGAGTTTCCCCATGTAGAATGTTTATCTGCCCCTCTGGGTCAGCCGTTACAAGTGGGATTCCACTAGGCTATCTTCCCTGAGGGTTCTGTGCCCTGGTCACCATGTCCTTTTCTGATAAGCACAGTAATGCCCACACCAAAGATGGCCATGCCCTAATCCTGGGAACCTGTGCATACATGGCAAAATGAATTTGGAAGCTGTAATTAAATTAAGAATATTGAGATGGCCCAGCCAGTGTGGTTCAATGGATTGAGCGTTGTCCCACAGACTGAGAGGTCCCAGTTAGTTTCCTGGTCAGGGCACATGCCCAGGGCTGCAGACTAGATTCCCAGCAGGGGGCATGCAGGAGGCAGCTGGTTGATGTTTCTCTCTCTCATCGATGTTTCTATCTCTCTCTCCCTTCCTCTCTCTCTAAAAACTCAATAAAAACATATTTTTTAAAGAAGAATCTTGAAATGGGGAGATTATCCTGGATTATCTGGGTGGGCCCAGTAGAATCACAGGATTGTAACTAAAACAGGGGGGCAGTAGTGTCAGAGTCAGAGAAGATGTGACAATTGAAGCAGAGATCGGAGTACAGTGATTGCTGGCCGGGGGCCACAAACCAAGGAACACAGCATCACCCAGGAGCTGGAAAAGGCAAGGAAGCAGACCCTTCTGAAGGAATGCAGCCCTGCTAACGCCCCATGAGTTTAGCTTGATGAGATTCATTTTGGACTTCTGACCTCCAGAACTGTTTGTTACATAATAAGTTTGCTGTTTTATGTCACAAAGTTTGTGGTCATTTGTTATAGCAACAATAGGAAACTAATATAATTTCTCAGGCTAGGGTTGATGCCCCGTCTTTTTTTTTTTTTTTTTTTTTTTTAGATAGAGGAGGAGGGAAGGAGTGAGGGAGAGAGAGAAACATCCATGTGAGAGAGACACATTGACCGGGTGCCAATCAAACCCAATCAAGGTACCTGCCCTTGACCAGGAATAGAACCCGCAACTCATTGGTCTGCAGGCTGATGCTCTAACTGCTGAGCAAAACGGTAGCAGCCATAGCTTACAGTCTAATGACACTCTTGCTGTGTACCCTGGTGGAAGTTTTCCCTTTGGAGAACCAGGACCTCTACTCCTGCAGAGCCTGCAGTTGTGAGGATGTTCGCTCAGACTCCCCTCAGGAGTCACTGGGAATGCTGGGAAGTGGGGCCGCTTCCGCTTCCAACCCTTGGTTCCCAGACCTATGTATTCTTTCCCTGTTTGGACTTGTATACATTCGGTAGGTATCTGGATCTTATTTCCAATACTGCTTGGGACAATGTTACATAAAAAACTGAAGTCCAGAGAAGTTAATGAATTTGTCTAAGGTCACACAGGTTGGCTAAGATTAGGCCCCCCCTCTTCTGAAACCTCATCAAGTTCTTTTTTCTTTTAAATTTTTTTTTTATTCTCACCCGAGGACATTTTTCCATTTTTGTTCAGATAGAATGGGAGGGAGAGAGAGGAAGAGAGGAAGAGAGAAACATCCACATAAAAGGGACACATTGAGTGGTTGCCTCCTGCACGACCCCAACTGGGGCCAGGGACAAACTGCAACCGAGGTACGCACCCTTAGCAGGAACGGAACCTGGGTCTCTCTGGACTGCGGGCCGACGCTCTAACCGCTGAGCCAAACCAGGCAGGACTAGTTCTTTTTTCTTATGCCATTCTACCTTCTATGCTTCTGTATAGCGGGCACGGTGTGCTGAACCAGTCAGGAGACCTCTATCTCAGCAAGAGGGAGTGGCAGGGAGAAAGGGAGGGGATGCATTTTCTTGGCATGAATTTGTGAGCCATTAGCCACCTCCAGTGATTAAATTATCTGCAATGAACACTCAACTCTACATTACAGTTAAATGACAGATCTGCTTAAGATTGCTGCTAGCATTCACTACCTCAATTTAATGTAGGCAAATGCAATCATTCAGTATCAGGAGACCACAGTGACATCAGGTTCCAGTCAGTTCTCAATTATCCTATATCTAAAAGGAAAGAAAATGAGCAATTTCAATGGGGAGGAGTGTTAATTGGACGACTAAAGTTTATTTCACATATAGAAATAAAATAATGTGTAGCAAAAGCATTGATGGTGATGATGAAATAAGTAACTATTATTTATCATTTCATGAATGCTCACTGTTTGTGGGGTACTGTGTAAGAAACTTCACCAACATATACTGTATAAGAAATTTATTTTAAAAAAGAAATATATATATCACTTAATCCCCTTTATCAATCATCTTTGTTGTGATAACCAACAACCTTCAAAATCTCAGTTACTCACTCATAAATGTCTATTTATTGCTCATGTTATATATATGTTATATGTACTTCTCTGTGTTTTTTCCATTCTGGGGCCTCAGCTGAAAAAGCATGCCATTCTGGTGGCGGAGGAGACAAGTAACAGTGGTAGAAACTCGCAATGCCTCTTAAAGCTTATGCTCAGACATGTCTGTATCACACTGATTAGTTCTAGTTGCCAACGACTATCACATGGCCAGGCCAAATATCAGTGGAGGAGTGGAGAGGGAGGGCAGTCTAGATCACATGGTAACAGGAGCGGACATATAATCCCCAAACAGGAAAGGGGGAAGGAAACAATTGGGAACAATGAAATTTAAAACAATAAAACCAGATTGATATTAATTCCACTCCCCTCTCCACTTTCAGGGACTCAGAACCCATGGCTTAAGATATCTGTCCCATCTCCATCATCCACTCAGTGCTCCAATAATAATATATTTATTAAACCTGTATGAATAAAACAGTTTAATAACCTGCTTTTTGTATTAATCTATAACATACAATATTGATTTTTTTTTTAAATAATAGCTAGACAAATTAAAGCTTCAAGACAAGCTCCCATCCCCCTAGGACAAGATGGTTGTTCCCAAATCCTCTGTACCACAGGCCGACGCTCTAACCACTGAGCCAAACCGGCCAGGGCCCCAAATCCTCATACATACAAAGCCTCCCAGGCCAGGGCTTAAATTAGATATTGGGGAGACCAAGCTAAAGCTTGTGAAAGGGCAAAATTCCATGGAGTCAATTTTAAAGATCTAATTGGCTTTATTGAGCAATTCATAAATCAGTCAGCATCCCATCTAGCAAGTGGAGAGGAGCACGGAGAACTTGTACAAAATTGAAGGTGCTTATATGCCGAAACTGGGCAGGATAAGAAAGTGATTATGAAAAGAAAAGAAAGGATTCTTTCAGGCAAGGACACCTTTCTTTGGGGGGAGGGTGGCAAGGGTCTTATTAGGTAGATTACCTTATTAGTGTTGATCAGGAAATTCCAGACTGGTTGGTGGTTTAAAATTCTACTCCTAGGAGAAGATGAAACTACAATTAGGTTAGGTATTAAGTTTTAGTTTTGGTGAAGCAGCTTAGCAAAAGTGACTTCATTTTGGGACTGTGGTCTCTTTCTTAACAGGCCAAAGCTGGGTCTGAGGTGTGTCATCCAGGTGAGAATCTCCAGCCGGCACTTAGAAATTCAAGTCTCACCCTGGCCTGTTTGGCTCAGCAGTTACAGCGTTGACCCTCTGACAGAGGGTTATGGGTTCGATTCCCAGTCAAGGGCACGTACCTGGGTTGCAGGTTCGATTCCTGCCCGGGTCAAAAAAAAGAAAGGAAAAGAAATTCAAGTCTCAAGTTCTACTTACAGTATAATAGTGTGTCAACAAATGAGATAAAAGTAACTATGTGTGAAAAGGCTTTACAATGTGATTAGCACCATTTGAACTTTCGTGTAATTTAAGATTTTATTCTCAGGTCAGTTGGATAAATAATAGATTCGAATGTGCCTTGATTTTTTTTTTTAACTGTACTACTGTATTACAACTGAATTAGCCTGTTTTAAGAGGATTTGCTAAGGAAAGCAATAACCTTGGTCAGTAACAAAAAAGGTGGAGAGAAAGCAGGTTGAAAGAAAGCAGACCCAGGGAAACTGATCTCCAACAAGGGGGACCATTTCAGGAGACTCGAGTGGGCCAGGATGCCCGCGGGTCACAAGCAGGCCGAACCTGGGGGTGGCCTTGAGGTCAATCCAGGGTAGACGGACTGAGGAGCCTGCCACGCGGAAACTCGCCCAGGATCTTTCCGAGATAGGGTATCATCCAGGAGGACGAGAAGGAAGGGAACAGCAGATCGGGGCGGGAGTGGGGGGGAGGCACCCAGCCTCTTCCCGACCCCAGGCGACAACTGAGCCTCCCTCCGCAGGCAGAACTCTCAGATAAGACAAAGGGTCGCCGCGGGAGGAGACCTAGAATGCGCGTGCGCCACGGAACGCGCGTGCGCTTGAAGGCCAGTTCCCCGGCCAGTGGCGGAGGGTGGGAAAAAGAAGACCGGGAAGGGAAGCACCGGGAGGAGCGAGCCAGTAGGCGTGAGACAGCGGAGCGGCAGGGAGCTCGCGCGCGCCCACTGGTGGCCGGAGGAGAAGAAGCCCGCGGAGGCCTCTCTGCCAGCCCCTCCCCTGGGAAGGCTCGCGCTCCCGCTGCTCGCGCCTGCGCCGCTCTCCGGTCTCGAGAGCGCGCCCTCTCGCTGGTGCGCGCGCTCACAGTCTCCACCACCCACCAGCTCCGGCACCAGCAGCAGCACCGCCGCCACCGCCCACCTTCTGCCGCCGAGACCACAGACACTTTCTCTTCTGCTTTCCTCTACTGTCCTCGCCCTCTGTCGACTATCAGGTAAGCGCAAGGCTCTGAAATGTGCCTCCCCATATGTCCCCTGCGCCCGCATACTGTCCCCTCCGCCTCGGAGATGGGTTTCAATAGGTGGGCATTGGTGGGGGCCAGTGGCGGGGGCCATTCCTTGCGCCCTCTGCGTTCCAGGGCTAGGTCTGGGGCGGCTTGGAAAGGGAGCCATGCAAGGGATGCACACGCGCGTGTGAGTGTATGTGCGTGTGCGTGTGCGAGTGTGTATGCTGGAGGTTCCACAACACCTGCTTCGCGCGGACCCAGGCAGAGGTTGTGCCCGCAGGGTGGGGCGCGGATGGCGGTGACCTGGGGGAGGGGGCTGCTATGCACTCTCGATCGCCGCCTTTTGCCGCAATGGGCGTGTGTCTATATGTGTATATGGGGGTGGGGTAGGCAATGACGACCCCCGAAACCGAACCTGTAGTCCGTTTTCTCTGTCTCGATTGCCATCAGCTTTAAGGAAGGTTTGGATTGGGTTCTAGAAAAGATGATTCCCCGCCTGCCCCTCCCTTCACCTTTCGGCTGCGATTCCAATGAGGTTTTCGCTGCCCCTGATTTAAGGCGGCGGCTCACCCCCTCCGCGTTTTCCTCCTTCAGAAACCCACAGGGGACATTTGGAGAATCGAGTAGATGGAGAGGGGTCCAGGGGCTGTCACTTTAGTATGCCCTTCCCCCTGCGCGCGCCTGGCACCGAGACGCGAGCGGCGCGGTGCCCTAGAGAAGGTGGTTCGAGGATGCCACTGTGGAGGCTCGGAATGGCAGGTGTCACCTGGCCTTGCGAAATGGAAGGTCTCGGCAGCAGCCCATCCTGGCTCCCCGGCGCTCACACCCGCAGGTGCACTTCGGGGTGGGCCCCTTTCTCTGCGCTCTGTGCCGGGCGTCTGGCGTGTGCGCTCCCTACCGGAGGCGCGGTGCTGGCGCGCAGGGCTCGCCCCTCACTGCGGCAGTGGGTGTGGACCCGGGTGGGCGAGGAGGGGGAGGGTAGGCTACGCCTCCTTCCACTTCCACCCCCGCTCTTTTCCCCCTCCGAACGCGAGGTGCCATCTTTTTGCGGCTTGTCACGTCTTTACGGTACCATGCCAAGCCGGGTGGCTGGGCTTCAGAGGACAAGGCGGGAGGCAGCAATCGGCGCTGAAATCTTTGCATTTTGCTGTTGCGAGGTTGAGCACTGGGGGGTTCACCTGGGATCTTCCTGGGAGCGCGCTGCTTTGTTTGTGGGGTAACGTGATCAGTGTTGTCAGCCTGGGTTTTTGCCTTTTATTTTATAAGAGTGTTTAACCAAGGTCCCCCCCTCACTCTGTGTTTCGCCCCTCATTTCCGAGCCCTTTGTTAGATCTCGGGGCTTGCTAGGGTCGATGAACTCAAATCACCGCCCCGCGGTCACGCGTATAACGGGCGTGACACTGAGTAGCCCCCTCCCGGAGCCGGGAAGCATCCACGGACTGAAGGGGTGGGATTCCAGGTGCTCGCGCGCTGTGAGGGTGTTCGCCGAGGGGCGACGCCCCACCCCACACCTGGAACGGTCTGGTAGCCACGCCTCACCAGGCTGCCCACCGAATGGCATCGGTGACCGCGGGGGGCCTGGGGGAGGCCTGCAAGCGGGGCACCACTCTGCTTCGTGCCCCGTTGCTTCTCCAGGCGGGAAAATGTGAGGAGGGGACATGAGGTTTCCTTTGGTGCTGACAGCCACACCCATTTTACCCCAGGCGACTTGGAGGGGGGCGCCAAGGGGGTGGTTGCCTTGGAAACCACAAGCGTCTTGAGAGCTGCCTTTGGGCGTAGCCCAGCCGCTTCTAAACAGAGATCAAGAATCATGGGGTGCGCGGAGCCGCGCCCCCTCGGGGGGCTCTCGAGGGAGGCCCCCAACCTTGATCCATGGCTCTTCCTAATTGGCTTCCGGCGGCCACAGACAGGCGGATAGGCGTCCCTGAGGTATTTGTGGACAGGCACTATTTTAAACACGTGCGGATTTTCACTTGAGCCCGAATGCACTGCCGCCCTTGAAACGGGGAATGGGGGGAGAAGGTGGCAACTGACGACCCCTGGCGAACAAGGCGGAGGCTAGTCGTCCTGTGCTGAGCCGGGTACGCGCGGCTTTCTGGTTAATTCTATCACTGAAAACTGGTGCGGGGGGCGCAGTTCTGAGCAGAGCGTCTTAGGGGCCGAATCATCCACGCCAGCCGCACAGGTTGAACTGAATATCTGGGGATGGCTTGGCTCGGGATCAGGCGGAACCTTCCCGACAATGGTGTCAGGGATGGAAGCCGCGGACCTGCGACGCCTCCTCCCCCGCTCCCCGCAGAGCTGGACCCGCCGGTGCGAGTGGCAGACACAAGGATCGATTCAGGCATCTTCTCCCTTCTCTCGCCACCCCACCCCTGACCCCCAGCTGGGCGTGAGATTGTGGTTCCAGACAGAGAGAGGATCTTGGGGCGGCCTGCGGCCTGTCCGTTGGGGCATAGTATTTAGCCCAATGCCGGGAACAAAGCGCAGGCCACCGGTCCGCGATTTCGCTAGATTTTGGAATCTGTTGGCGGTTTGATGCAACGCTGGGGTTCGCAAGGCTTGGGGGCTGTTAATAGTGGAAACCCCCCCCCCCCCCGGCTGGGGTGGCGGTGTAAACTACAACCCTGGCTCTGCGCGGGAGGATCTGGAGGGTGTAGCGTTTGCGCCCACGCTCAGCCAGCAGCTGCGTCCTCTCTTGGAATCCCCAGCGGGCGGAGGCTATTTTACCGCCTGGGAGACTCCACTTGGCCTCTGGCGCTCAGGAACCTGTAAATCCACCCCGGGTTGGTCCGGATGATGGCACCTGGGACAGCGACTGCCAGACCTGCCACCTCGTGCGTGCATAGGCTCAGCAGGATGGCTTTGAGTTTTTTCTGATCCCAGCCTCTCCAGTTGACCCGCCCTACAACACAGCGAGAAATGCCTTTCCTACCACAATTAATTAGGGTATTATTTTACTTTTTATGATGCTACTTATGTTTACCACATCAGAATTGTTTATCCATTCCCCCATCTCCAAACCCTTCCTCTGAACGAATAATCACACACACCTCCACCCCAAGCGCCCTGTCCCAGTGACTCTTGAAGTTAATCAATTCCTTGACCAAGGTTGGCTTCTGTAACAGGTTGTGTTTAATTCAGTAACCTGGCTTGACTCTTTGGGGTGAGCCTTTGGACAATTTGGGGGAGGGGTTTGTTGGCTTTGCTGTTTTGTTTTGAATGAGTGACAGTCTATGACTATGTCCCCTAGCCCCACATGGACCTCAGCTACACATGCCCATCATGGAAGGGTGTGGTTTTTAAGTGGTTTCCAGTATCAAGCCCGGCTCCCCTGACAGTAACAAAAGAAATGGATTATTCCCACAAATTGCAAGAAGAAAACACAGAATCCATTTCCTTGAGGAAGGGTCAGATTTATTCCATTTGGAAAAGAGCCCCTTTTATTGAACATGTCATTTGACCCACATGCCCTTTGAAGTCAGTGCCAGCCTGCAGTTGTAATAGGATTGTGTTGCCCTTTGTTTCGGCTGAAATTTTCTTCTGCCCTTTTAACATCAGTTCATGAAGCACACTTGTTGAAAATTTTAGAAATTGTGTTTTATTCCACCTTCCCTCAGCATTTGTCTACGGTTTGAGTGGCCCCTTTAGCAGTGTATATGAACATGTGTTCATTTTCTAATTGAACACATGATAGTTTTCCAACTAGATTGTGCCTTCTATTTAATTAGTATCTTTCTTACTCCCACTCTGAAAAATAATCACTCAAAAACAAATTTTAAAAAAACCCTTAGGGGCTTAATACAGCGCTAGACATACAAAAGGTATTTTGGCCCATACTCTTTTAACAAATGGATAAAATGGGAAAATGCAGGTCAATAGGTAGAGAAGAAAAAGCAGAATGGGAGGAGGGTTTTATTCAATGTCATGGCATCAGGAAGGTTTGGGGACAAATCCAATCCAGTTTGTCCCCTACTCTGTATCCTCTGAAAGCTGCCTCTGCAGCCCAGTTGGTGTGGCTCAGTGGTTGAGTGTTGACCCATTCACCAAGAGGTTGCAGTTCGATTCCCAGTCAGGGTACATGCCCAGGTTGCAGGCCAAATATCCAGTAGGGGGGCATGCAGGAGGCAACCAATCGATGTTCTCTCTCATTGATGTTTCTATCTCTCACTCCCTCTCCCTTCCTCTCTCTCTAAAAATCAATAAAGAAAAAAAAGATTTTTTTTAAAGAAAGTTGCCTGTGCACCTCCACGCCTTCCCTCCCCTGCTTCCCCAAAACTTCGACCTTCCCACTGCAGAACTTGCCCCTTCTGACTCCACAGCCTGGACCCTCTCGTTGCCTCGGGGTGAAGAGAGGAAAAGGGAGAGAATGCACTTGACCCCAGGGGAAGGAGGACCCTGCCCCCTTTGGAACTGCAAGTGCTCCTTCTGCCAGGAGGTCAGAGGTGGGAAAGCCCATTTGCCTCTGTTCTTTCCACTTCCTCCCACCCCACTTCTTTCATCTTCCCACTTCAGAGACCGCCAACCTCTCCCAGAAATGCCCACCTGACTGATGACTCCTCACTTGCCACCCTAGGTGCTTCCACTGGTGACTTGGAGCTGGCTCAGGGAGGGGGCACCTCAGCAGGTGGGGTGAAGGCCCCAACCTGACCAACTGGGCTGCCACGGGGAGAGGAACCCAGTGTTCCAGCTGGGACTCTTCAGCTGTTTTCCTGTAACACAGGAAAGTGAGATGTCTAGAAACATTTTTATTTTCACAACAGGGGGAGGATGCAACTGGCATCTAGTGGGTAGAGGCCAGGGATGCTGCTAAACAAGCTACAAGGCACAGGACAGCCCCCACATCAAAGAATGAGCCAGCCCTAAATGTCACTAGCGCCAGAGCTGAGAAGCCCTGCTATAGAAACATTCTTACCCTGGCACTGTTATCTTAATGGTGGCTTACATTTCTTGAGTGTCTTCTAAGAGGCACTGTTCTAAGTGCTCCC